CTGATCAACATGGTGAAACCCCATGTCTACTAAAAATATATATAAAAACAGTTAGTTGGGCGTGTTGGCAGGCACCTGTAGTCTCAGCTGCTTGGGAGGCCGAGGCAGGAGAGTCGTTTGAACTCGGGAGGCGGAGATTGCAGTGAGCCAAAATCATGACACTGCACTCCAGCTTGTACGACAGAGCAAGACTCTGTCTCAAAAACAAAATAAAACAAAACAACAAACAAAAAACAAACCAGAAGTCTTATAAGTTTCAATCAAATATTGATATTACACGCAAATGCCTTTGTGTGTGTGTGTGTGTGTGTGTGTGTGTGTATCTCATGATTAGACAACAGAACTTTGGGATTTGAAGGGTCCTAAAAGATCACGAAGTCCAGTATCCTAGTTTTATAAACAATAAAACAAATCCACAGAAGTTAAAAGGTTTGTCCAACCTAGTAACTCTAAATCACTCCAAAAATGTAGTAAAGGATATAAAATGCAAATGTATTGAACTTCTGTTCCTAAAGATAATTAAGTGACTAGTAGCAAATTAACATGTGGTTGATGTAACCCAGATGAATTTGAATTTCATATCAAGGACCCAGGTTTTACCTACTCTTTCAGGTGCTGACAGTCTGATCAAGGCTTAAGGCCTTTTTTGCATTGATAAATGACTGGTATATTGGAGAGGTGAGCAAAAACTGAAACTGGTTTTCCTCTGCTCCCACAACACAACAACAATTAGCACAGAAGACCTCTGTGTCCGGTTGTTTGGGGTTATTTCCCCCACACACCAAGCAAGCAAGAACTTTTTTTTAGTTCCGCAGCAGACCCCGGCTGGGCATCCTCTCATTCAGTTCTGACAATGGAGATAGGGTCCGCTCCCACAGGCTGAGGCTCAGTCCCACAAGATGCCCCCTGCTGCAGACACCGTCGCAAGTCTGGGCCTCCAAAGCTTCTGACTGACTAGCTGCAAGCTGGGGTTCCCATGACCGCTTCTTTGGGTTGGAGTAATTTGCTAGAGCACCTCACACAACTTAGGAAAACACTTCGATTTACTGGCTTATTATAAAGGATATTACAGGAGATACGGCCGAAGAGGTGCACAGGGCAAGGCATGTGAGAAGGAGCACGTAGCTTCTGTGTCCTTTTCGGCCCCACCACCTGCCAGGAACCTCCATGTGTTCAACTATCTGGAAGCTCTTGAACCCAGTCCTTTTGGGTTTTCATGGAGGCTTCATTACATAGGCATGGTTGATTAAACCATCGGCCCTTGGTAATGAACTTAACCTTCAGCCCCTCTTACCTCCCCAGAGGTTGTGGGGTGGGTATGGGCTGAAGGTCCATACAGCCTTGGTCTGTCTGGTGACCAGCCCCTATTCTGAAGCTAACTAGGGGCTGCCAGCCGTCAGTCAATCATTAACATATAAGAACACACCACTTTGGAGAGTCTAAGGATATTAGGAGTTGTATGCAGGAAATGGGGTTGAAGACCAAATGTATATTTCACAATATCACGGTATTAGAACTTTAATTTTACTTATTATTTTCCCCTCCCACGTGTATTTCATTACTAGTAGCATCAGTGTGGTGATGTCCATAAGATACTGTGGTTTGAAGCGTCTTGGTTGGAAAGAAGAAACACCTGCCTAGTTTTGCTGTATTGTTTTCTGAAGGAATTCCAAGTAGTGAGGGTGGAGAGAATCTTTCCACTTCTCTCACAGTAGAATTCAGTCACTATTTCTTAC